ATCGTGAAAATGTGGCCTGTGAAAACCAACGGATTATGTGCATGATGTTTGGAGAATAGTATGCCAGGGATATGGTTGTCAGCAAATGAACATATACTTACTTGATAGTATGTATGATCAGAGCTACTCATTGTCACCAAGTTCTAGATCAAAGAGAAATGAGACTGGGGAACAGATATCCTGTTTTGTGTATTCTAATGCATGATGTGGGGGCAGGAAGAAGGTGGCTTCATTCTGTAAAGTAAGCATGTAAGATTGTCTGGACCCAAAATCTGACATGTGACTTTAAATTCATCCAACAACCTAGTTATTGAGCCAGGCATTCTTTCAGTAGAGTCAATCAACAACACGGTTGGAAGCCCAATAAGTTTTTAGCCATGTACATTTCATCTATGCAGTGAGGAACCTTTTTGAAAGCATTGGATCATAAATTCTAGTTAGTGTCGAAGGGCCACACAACACCCTGGTGAGATATTTTGGTTTAGGTAAAGTGTGTTGATTATGGTGCTGAACACTGAATCAAAGCACAATTTTATGTGAGAATTTTTGCTTAGGACCACTCTTGACTGGTTGCAGGCCTTTGTTAAAGGGAGAGAAGTATCCACAGTCAATACCCTGCACTAATCCAGGGTTACTTTTTAAAAGCTATTTTCAGCCATTTTTTTCCCCTAAGACTAGCACTTTGCTGGCTCCTCCCCCCCTCTCTCTTTTGGTTTTTCAAGACAGGGTTTCTCTGTGTAGCTTTGGAGCCTATCCTGGCGCTCGCTCTGGAGACTAGGCTGGCCTCGAACTCACAGAGATCCACCTGCCTCTGCCTCCCGAGTGCTGGGATTAAAGGCGTGCGCCACCAACGCCTGGCCCCCTTCCTTCTTTTGATGTTGCTTTTGAGACAGACTCTCACTATGTGGCCCAGTATGGCCTAAAACTTGTTTTGCCAACCAAACTGACCTTAAATTCTGATCTTCCTGCCCCAGCGTCCTAATAAGTGCTGGGATTACATATGTGAGCACCGTTAGTGCTGACTCATTGGAGGCCAGAGTTTCTCTCACAGGCATGGACATCTTTCTTGAGAGCCTTCCTCACAGTTTGGGGCTAACTCCAGCACACCCTTCTGTAAAGGCAAGAAACTGTCCATCTATTTTTTTCCCCAGACGTGGTGTCAACTTGGTCGTCTTTAAAAGGCCTAAAGAGTCAGTCTGTCAGAAAACTTTGGCTTTTCTGTGTTGAGCCTACTTCTCCTGCTACCTCCCAGAGCACACAGACAGTAGGCAAGAGAGGGGATCCAGAAGTGGGTTTCTACAACCATCAACCAAGCTATGTTTATTATTTTTAAAATAATATTTGTTAAAATACAAAGTCAAATATTTTTCATATCATACTTTGCTCTTGTTATCTCTTCCCACACACTTTATTTTTTAATCACTCACATGCAAATGCATACATACAAAGACACACGCCACTGATCTTTCTGTGTGACTAAGGGCCTGTACTATTTGACATAGTTCTGCACTATGTGTTTCTCAAGCATAGGATTTAAGAATTTTTTTTCCAATGTAGCTTCACTTTTGACCTTGCCTTTTTCTATGAATAGCTCAGATGTAGTATGTGTAGGAAAACAGTGTCAGCCTGGAAAATTGTTAGATAGTAGGCAATTGTCTTTAAACAAACCCTTAAAATGGGTGTTCATAAATATCCATGGGCTTGTTCCTTTGTCATATCCACTACAGTAAAGGACAAGAGTATTTTTGTCCAAAGCTAGGCAGAAAGTTCTTCCTGCTACATTTTAAAGATGAAGATACTTCTCAAAAGTAATGAAAGGCAACTGGCACCTGTGTCTCTAGGCAACCTCATTCTCCATGATGGGGATTGGATCAGTTGGATGTTAGAGAAGGAACTGTTGAGCTAGTTCCTCCTGGCTCAGCCTGTAGCAGGTTTCTTTACTTTCTTTTATTTAGATTTTTTAAAATTTAAATTAGAAACAATCTTATTTTATAGATCAATCCCAGTTTCTTCTCCCTCCCTTCGTCCCATGCCCCCCACTGACCCCCATCCCATTCCCCTCTTCTGCGCCATAGAAAGGGTGATGCCTTCCATGGGGATCTTCAAAGTCTGTCATATCATTTGGGGCAGGGCCTGGGCCCTTCCCCACGTGTCTAGGCTGAGAGAGTATCCCTCTATGGGGAATGGGCTTCCCACAGCTTCCCTTTTGAACCTGAATTCCATCTTGCAGCAGCCGAGAGGGGGAAGGTCTGAAAGGCCAGCTCTGTTGTTCTCTGAACCCTGTTAGCCAACAGCATCAGCTCTGCCTCATAGCCAAACTAAACAGCCTCTGTATGAAACCCTGCATCTGCTCCACGCTGGCCTCTGTGCCTTTCCTCTCAGTTACTTCATCCGGCCCCTCTGTACCACTGCACCCCTGAGTGTGTATACTGTCAAAGAGAGTGGGTGTTTGGCTAGGTGGAAAATCGGTAGCTGAGCACTCTACCGTTCACGGCCTTAGAGAGATGCACATCATCAAGTCTTCAGGGGATGCTGGTGCATGATTTATTAGCTCTTTCAAGCATATTAACTGCAAAATGTGTTACAACACAGGGTATGAAGTCTTCAGAAATGACATTGGTCTTGTTGGAAACAGTGTCTCGGGGGAATGGGGCAATGGAGAATTCATGGAGCATTATTTGCTGCAGGTGAAAAGGACCCTGCTTGCTCTTCAAGTGAACTCTGTAGAAGGATGTGGCTGATCCCCCACCACGATCTCAGTATCTTGAAATCTGAGCAGGAGAGAATTGCTTTAATTTGATGTCAAAATTACTTGCACCCCCAATGAGTGATGGAAAAAAAAAACAAATAATTTTGGCTGCCTCTGAACACATTAGACATCTGGGCAGCCTTGAGCCACCCTGGCACTGGACAACCAAAGTGGCTTCAATCAGACCTCTCTAGGTGTCCCTGGCCCTGTCTCAAGGCCTGTTGTAATTCTGTCTTCAGACCCCACAGTCACCTCTTCAGCCAATGGCTCATCATAACACACAGCGTGCTTGAAATGTGATGTTGCCGGGATTCTCTAGGAGAATCCTGCCAGGCATTGTGACAGTGCTGGTCCAGACAACTAGAAACTTGGTTGCTACATAAGAATAAAGTATCTCAGTATTAACGCTGCCATGCCAGCTTTCTTTGAGAGAGAGAGAAAAAAAAAAGGAAGAAAATGAAATGCACTCAATGTTAAGAAAAGAGAAACTGGTTTCTAAAATGTTTTTCTTTTACGACTCTGGGTCACTTAAGTAGATGTAATGCCTGGTGTGGAAAGTATGCAGCAGGCTTCCTCACAGGCTTGAATTCAAGAGCATTTAACTGTAAGGATCCTAGAGGTCTTGGAGTGTGTGTTTCTGAAACCCGAGTCAAAGTTTGCTTAAGCCAGTGTGATTTGGTAATCTCAGTTGACAAATATTTATTGAGTACTCATGCACTTTGGGCTGGACAAAGAACAAGGTCACACAGGTTATTCAAGACCTGTATCGACACATTGTTGTCAACCAGATGCAAGGAGAATACACATGAGGCAATTAAAAATAACAGCAAAACCTCCATCTTAACTGGTTCATGCGCCACAAAGTCAAAAACAAGTTCATAACTAGAGGACATACAAGAAAAATGACTAGAGAAGTCAGAGTGTGTTTTGAAAAGCAGGCAGGATTTTGGCAGCTATAAATGGGTCCTTAGGTTAGTTAATACAACAAGGTTTAATCCAGGTTTGGACTGACAGTAACTTTGTGGTGGAAGCACAAACTAGTTCAACACAAGTAGTGTTTTCTGGGGACCTACTATATACCAGACACTGAGATTTAGTGTTGTGTGGGGAAGGTTTTCACAGTGATCCTGATGTATCAGGCTGAGTCCAGGGTGCCCCTTGTATACCAACTCCCACAAATGCTCAAATCTTTTATATAAAATGACAGGTTTTTTGCTTATGAGTTGCACATATTCCGTTTTTCCCTGTGTACTTTAAGTCATCTGTAGGTTATTTATAATAGTGAATACAATGCAAATGCTATGCAAATAGCTGTTGTTTGTTATTGCAAGAGAAAGTCTGCATATGCTCGGTACAGATTTTTTATTTTTATATTCTTATTTGTCTTGAGACCGCATCTTATTAGGTAGCCCAGGCTGCCCTCAAACTTGCGATCCTCCTGCCTCAGACTCATATATATA